GGAAGCAAGCGTTCCCAGCCACGCAGGAAAACAAGGCTGTTGGTTGTTGGCGAGAATTTGTTATCGCAGCAACCACTGTTATGACTACAGTGACTGGATCATTCGCTTCAGTCATCAGGCAGACACGATTTCTCGCTGATTCGCTTCACCCCAGCGGTGGACCTCAATTGCTTGACACATGTGGGCAAGGTTTTTTGCTTTGTGGGTCCGTATCATTTTCCTGCTTGCGTCGCGGCTAGTGGCGGGCTTCTTGTTTGCGCGTGCAGGTTGCTTGTTTTCTTTCACATTGGTGGCTGAGAGTTGGAATCGTATCTCAGTGCGCGGGGAACAAGTACACGAAACACGTGCCTGATTTGTGCAATGAGCGGGGGTCATCGCCCATGCTCTTTCATGCCGTGCATGAATGATCGTGGTAAGTACGCCAGGCCATCTTCAAGGCTCCGTTTTGGCCGCTCAAGCGTTGTCTTTTTTGTAGTTTTGATGTAGTCTGCTTTTTGCCGGACCAGGCCACGCAAGCGGCAGAGGCTGAACAACTTGCCACGAGCCAGATGACGGAGTGGCGTGGTGAACTTGGTGCACGCCCACATTAGGGCTGATTGTAGACATGCTTCTCACTTGCAAAAAGGCAGGGGGATGCATTAGCAGAACACTGAGCGCAATGTGCAACACTGGTATGCTGGCCTCTTTGCCGTGCGAGGTCAGTGTCATGCTGGAGCAGGGCAGTTCCGACAGTTTTGACACGCCGTTTGACATGTTGGTTTCCTTGCGTCTCATGGTTTGCGTTAGAGTTTTTAGCAGCCTGTCTTTGGCGACATATTGCGAAAACAAGGTTAACGAGACCACTTGGCAGGCACGTGAACGGGCGCGAACCTTGAAAAGCTGACGGGAACCGAAATGGCCACATTGGCAGGAGCCGCGAGGGGTCGTGAGAACAAGCCTACGTGCACAGTGACCAACCGCAGCGCACACGCGCTTACGTGTTGTTGCTGCACGAGGTGGCCAGCGCTGTCACGGAGTCCGGGCAGGAGCAAGGGCCGACGCCAGCCCGCAAAGCTAAACTTATTCCCGCCAATGTCGTACCATGGCTTCCCATTCAGACCTTTAAAGCCCATATTCTAATGTCCGTTTTGGAATTACGGAAGCAGGGTAGCCGTGTGGAAAGCTGGTTCGTTCTGGCCCCTGACTTTCCTCTAGAAGGTCGTTCCCATGTTGTAGTTTCAGGTCTTGAGAAAACCGCCCTTGCAGTTTGATGACCGCATGCTGGCCAACGTCAGCGCTGACAGGATTGCCTGGCAACTGGCAGCACCTCAGCTCCCTGGACGCTTGGAAAGCTCACCTCATCATCACCTGAACTGCAAACAAGGCGGAGCTGGTTCGGGTTTCCCTTCACGGGAACGGTCGGAGATGTTTCGCAACAACGAGTTCCTCGTGTAGTCCTAGACTTGTCGTTTGTCATCCTTCAACACGATGCTGAAGGACCCGCTGGCGCCGATGTTTCCTCCAGCCATAGTCCCCGAACTGCAAATGCAAGATGAGCCAGCTGCTTGGACAAACATGGCAGTTTTGAAAGTTCAAGCTATTCCCCATTCCGGCCCTGCACTTTTTGTGTTATTGTTGATCATTTATAAAACTCCCAGGTTTGCGAGGGCGTGAACAATGCCCCAGCTGCTGACACCACTGCGCGCAGCTTGCGCCATGCTGCCCCTGAAGTCTGAGCAAGCCGCGGCTACTATGGGCAAGAAGGAGTTGCTGGGCAAACGCCGGCCAACGGACACAAGCTGTGCTAGAAGTCAAGGCGGACCTGAAGGCGAGGAAAGGGTGCCGCTTGCTACCGGCTACTTCAGGCGACGGTTGTGCTGCGATCGGTGCCTGGCAGTTCAAGGTGTGTCTGAGACGCAGCCAAAGGCGCTCACCTGCAGCGCAACGTCACACACCCGTGATCCACGAGGCATACCTGGGGACTGCGCAGGGCCACGCCCCAAACACCTTGAGCGTGCTGCAACTGTTAGGCTTCTGGCACGCTCCTGGGCAGAGAGACGACGTGTTCCTCAAGCGTGTGACTGTTGAGATGCGCGCTACGCGCAAGTTTGGGCCTCTCGGCCAGAAGTTACGAACACTAAGTTGCCGTTTGTTTGTCATATGGCGCGAGCGCCTCTCTAGGAGTTGCAAAACATGGTTGAATTGAAATTGCCCTGTGTTTGTCATCTGGCGCGGGTGGAGCTCTTAGCTAGGAGTTGCGACACATGTCGAAACTAAATTGCCCATTGTTTATCGTGTGGTGTGGGTGTCTCTGTAGGAGTTGCTTTCCTGGCGCTTGGCATTTGGCGCCGGTGGGTCTCCCGGCAAGGAGTTGCGAAATAAACTAAATCCTGCTTTTGTCATTTAGCGTTAGTGCCGCGCTAGGAGACGCAAACTATTCTTCAGCTAAAGTGCCACTTGTTTGTCATGGTGTGAGTGGCTCATGTTCTGGTGGGCTGCGCCTGCCCAAGCGCATTCTGAAGGCTTCCGGCCGAGAAGACTACCCAGTTGCTTACTTGAATCAAAGCAGCCCACGTCAAGCTGACGTGCTGGTGGATGGCAAAGAAGCACAAAAAGCTTTTCTGTGGGGTCACCCGTCGCTTGTCGCAGCGTTGCAGCTTTTGCCTTCTTCAATCACTTCCGAACTTCGTCTTCCTCGAGTGCAGCATGGCCTAAGCGACGCGAGAGCTTGCGCCAGGACGAGCTTCGCACTTGACTGTGATCTCCCCTCGCTCGCTTGCCAGGTGCATCGAGATCATGGACCGCCAGGCTGATTCTCAGCCATGGACGCACTGACGGTGCACTTTCCGCGAAAAGGAAGCCAATGGCGACACGTCGCCATTCTGGAAGAGGGCTCCACGTTCAACGTTAAATGCGGTACTATTCCTTTCCATGCCAAGGCCCTGCGAATTTACTAATTCGCGAGGAAGATCATACAGCCGACATGGGCACAAGTTCGGCTGACAGTCTTGCAGTTCAGGTTGCCAAGAGGAAGGACAAGGCCACCAAGCAGAACGGGTACCATGGCATCTTGACTGTTTGGGGCTTGATGTTCAGCACCGCACGCGCGTGTGTGAGGTAGGTCGCACCTGCGCGGACACGGTCATTCTGTCCCACTTGGTCCTTGCCGCGCTAAAGCAAAGCGCCGCCCAAATGTCGGCCCAGCGTCCGCCTCCCACGAAAGCGTCTCGCACACACCAAGGATAGCAGTGAGGCTTTCTTCGCAGGATTGCGCTCTGACTGGATGGTTATTTTCCAGGGAAAGACTATGTCGTTGAGAGCGTTGTACCTTCATCCTTGACAAGGTCGGCCCCCGCGACATAATCGCATGGTTCGAACTGCATCAGCTCTACAGTGAGCAGCCTGATGTCCGAGCTCCGCCGCCTGGCGAGGAACAATGCGAGTGAAAAGCACACCGACTTCGTAGAACGAGGCAACGACTTGTGCTGCCTGCAAAGGCAAGTCTACCCGACAAGGTGTCAAGCCGCCCGAGCCAGCAGGCCAACCGCCAAGTTCGAGTTCCAGCGCCAGCAGACTGTGGCAGCAACAACACGCTTGGATGGCAGCGGAGCAGTGTGTGGAGTTGGGACTTGGCATGCGCGCCTGCCCTCAGATCTAGAACTGAGAAGCTGGATCATTCAAGGGTGGATTGACCGAAAGCGGCAGATCGAACAACGAGTCTTTCAACTGGCAGGCATTTCCACGAGTGCAAGGCTATGGCGTTCACGACACCCGCCAGAATTCTTTCAAAACTAGCCTGCAGGGGAACATTTGCCTCTGTGAAAATATCTGATTGGTGCCTACCCGTCTCAACGCAGAGGGGCTTGTTGAAACACAAGGGGTATTTTCCGGTGTGTGGAGGCCCAAAAGGTGATCATATGCTGAGCTTCTCATTAAACGGTTGTTTTGCTGGGCCTCAGCAAGTAGCCCTTGAGTCTTTAGAATCCGAGAGTTGGTTAAGGGTTGAAAGCCTGCAGACGCCGAAGAGAATGAAGGGTCTAAATGATGGAGGCCGTTTCTGGGCAGTTGCAAGGGAACACTCAAATGGTTGAAACACCATCTTACTTGTAGCACTGTAGCAAGCACCCACTGGCGACCTTTTCGCAGGGCAGAAAGTTGAAACTTTTCCTTTGGAAGAGCCAGCCTTGGCTGACTTTTGATCTTGTGATGCCGAGGTTTTGGCTTGCTAGTGACTAGAGTTGGCTTCAACTACACCCCCCCTCAACAGCACGAACTGGCACTTGGAGTTCTTCTAGTGGAGCGTTGGCTGTTTGGGTTGTCTTGGGCTTACCAATGCTGAATTTAGAACTGCCAGTGCTACGTTAAGTAGTGCCAAGACTTGGCATCAGATTCCCAGCACCTAATTTAATCTGAGGTGAAATGCTGGAGCACTGCCGATTCTAAGCTTAGCTTTGCCGGACTTCAGATCTCAGATAAACCACCCCTTTGAAAGTAAAGGCGAAGGCGTGTGTCCAAAAGAACACCCGCGCGCCAAAAACAAATAAACTTGCCATTAAAGCGGACCCCGCAACACCCAGATTGAAGTGGATTAAGGGCTCTCGTGGGCAACCCCCTTTGCGTGGACAGTTTGGCCTTGCTTTGTGTTACAAGGGGGTTGAAGAGATACATATAAACCATACACATGTAAAAGATAGGCCAGCCTTTTTAAAAGTAAACCGCTGATGGCGTTGATCTGGCCGGGTTTCATTTTGAATAGCATTCCAATACGGCCGCAGGATCTGATTGAGGCAAACAACTTTCTCCAGCGACCCCAATTCTTAAAGGAAACCCATTGCAGCTGCCAGCCCTTGATTGCCTTGAAGGTTCGTGATCTTTGGGATCCTCAACCGCCTGGTATCATTGTGATAGAAGGGGGGAGGCGCGGGCCCAAGAAGCAAACTTTCCCCCCGTACATTTTCCCTTCGTGGATGCAAAGGAAGTAGCTTTCCAGTTGGTTGTCTTGATTCTTGCGCTTGCCGGAGGCGCTTGCATATGCCTACCGCCAGACGTGAGTGGCGCTGACAAACGGTGTGACGCGTCACGGGTGGTGAGGTTTGCTGTGGCCTTGAAGACAGGGACATGAAGGGCTTTGCAAAGTGATTTTACACGTAAATCCCTTCTGAGTTTTAGTGGAAACAGGTGGGGTGAGTGATGTTTCTTCCATTTTTCCAGACCGATGGTCCGGAATGACTTTCCAGACATTGTAGTTTTGATCAAAAACTAAAGTTGGCATTACCCGTTTTACCCCGCGGATCGCTGATTCAGGGTAGCAAAGCACACTACTTGTTGCATCAAACAGATTGTCAGCGGGGAGTTCAAGTACAAGCCGGGGGGGTTCTGATTCCGCCAGGCTTGAAAGGTTATGGGAGACTTTGTATGGTAAAGTACTGGCGCCTTGGGGTCCACGGTGTAATGAAAGATGGTCGCCTTTTGCAAACCTCAACACGGAGGTTCAGAAAGGGACGCTGGACACTTTTGTGAACTCCGAACAGATTAACAGGAAGAATGCCAGGGCAAGGCTTGAACCTGGGAGGAATTCGTTTTGAGCATCCAAGGGGCCATATGTGGGCGGTTGCTGGAAGACTAAACACTCAACAGTGGATGGCTCCAGACAAGTCGGCCTTCAATCAAACAGCTACAGTTAACCCAGGCAACCAAACCGACAAGAAAGGTCTTCCCCATCCAATATTCTAAGTACTTTTTGAGCACAGCTTCGGCAAACATGAAGGGAACCTTCAAGATTGCTTCCCTTGTGACAACAAGCAAATAGGCAAAATCTGCCCGCCGAATAGCAACAGGACTGACTGTCCTGCCACAGGCGTAGTCCAAGGGTGCTAGCCAGCCGCGTGGTGAGAGGGGCTTGCCTCAGCGCGCCCGTACTTGAAGAGCAAGGGCTGGGGGGCTGGGGGCTGTTTCTTGTTTGCTCTGTGCTTGATTGATTCCAGATCCACTCATGTTCGATTTGCGTTGGGCAAATTTGGCTCTGGTACATTGTACGCGTTGCACACATCCAACGGTAGAAGGTACAACCATCTTGCTCACTTGTGGTGTTGATATGTTTGTTTCCATTTCGAACCAAGCACTGCTATTTACACATTTTGGTCTTCTACCCCAACGTCGCCTCATCGGAATAGACCCATATCGGGACTTACGAGGTTCATCTTTCGGGCCCCCCGTTTTCAACCTCAGTTGTAGTAGTGGAGCAGGTTTTCCGAAAGCAGGAGTTCAGGCCTTCCATGGAGCGGTCCATTGTAGGACGGCCGCGTTGTTGGGTTTGGGTGTGAAGATCTAATTTGATTAGATTCACAGTCATTGCACGGACACGGACCTTTCCCAAGACGACGCTCTTACAGACCGCAAGCGCTGGACAATGAAAGACTCATCGATCCAGACAACGGAGCGGAGTATTTCTTGCAGACCCTGGCTACTTCTTAGAGGGCGCGCAGAATGTATTTCTAGATAGATGCAGTCTCTTCAAGCACCGCCGGCTTAAATGCAATAACCTACACGCAGCTTGTAAAGGCAGCAGCAACTGCAAAAAAACCTGTTAGTGACACACGGCGGCCGAGCTCGGCAATCAGAGGATGTCAGACGAGACCTCACGCAACCTGCATCTCAGTCCCAAGCCAATCGTTGTGGTGACAGGGTGTTTTGCTGGAGGGAGGACAAGCCAAAGATCAAACCATCCAAAGGAGGAATGTGGCTAAAGGGCAAGGGCGCAATGGTAGGAATTGCCCTTAGCACGCCTACTTGAGGCCAACGTCACAAAACTCAGAAAGAACGAAGCTTTGTCGCCACCCAAACCTGGACTTGGACCTGCCGACCTGCCGAGAACGAGACAAGGCGGCGGCGAGACGACTACAAACCAATACAACCATGCACCAGACCAGGTAAGGTCTACAGAACCAGCACCGTCATCATCAACAGGTCGTTGCACGGAAGACTATGCCTATGATTTGCAATTCGCAACTTGGAACTGAGTGACTTCGGGAAAGACCCTTGTCCTGGAGGTATTCGCTGGAAGTGCCCGCCTTAGCCAATGCTGTGCTCTGCCGGGATTAAAGGTGGGCGCACCAATCGGTATTAGAAATGGTTTTGATGTCATGACCTCAAAAGGTCGACAAATGGTACGGGACCTTCTCCGAGAGCAACAGCCAGATTTGGCTTGGCTTGCTCCAGCGTGTGGACCGTGGTTCCTTATGCAAAACATCATGGTCCAAAGATTGTTGCAGAGAAGACAGCCCACTTTCCTACGATCGGCTTTGTAACTTCCATCGCAAGGTGTCAGCTGAACCGGGAACATTTCATTTTAGAGAGTTTCCAGAAACCCAAGATCTGGGTCCATGGTTCAACTCACGCGCAACCCGCAGGTCGCCCCGAATGATCTACAATCTAGTTTTTTGTGCCTTCGGATTGAGAGATCCAGACAGTACACTTCGAAGTTTGGAGCAATGAGACCAATCTTCAGAAGGTGCTCTAACTAGCTTGGATAGGAGAAGCACCAGCATCAGCCTTTAAAAGCCAATACCCACAGAGCGCCCAGTCATATCCTTTTTCATTCTGTTAGGAGATGGCACATATTGTTCCCAGATTGCTTAAGGTGAAACCCTGTCAACGAAGTCTACTTGTTAGAAGGCATCTTTGAGCCTTTCTCAGACAGTGACATACCCAGCATAAGGCCCGATCTTTGAGGAGTGCAAAATGACCAGCGCCAGAAGCTTCCTTTCCACAACCAGGCAGATCCGTTCCACACCAACAACACAGAAGTTCATAAACTTCAGAAGACAATGGGACGGAACCGAGCTTGATCTAGCGGCATCCAAGACCTGAGGTTCAAGAATCCACGTCGCAAGAAGTGCATCATGTACTGCCGTACCACACTGACGACAGCGCTGACACATGCGTGTTTCTCTGGCAAGCAAACACACTGAGCAAAACTTTGGTCTTACCAGCGCACTGATGAGACCGAAACAATTGTAGCCCTCTACAGTGGCACGCGCTTGTATTTTGACAAACCCTCATGTCCTTCAAGGAAGCACCCACGATTCGGCCGATGCCCAACGTGGGAACTCTTGGAGTGCCCTGGTTAGACTGGAGTGTTCGACTGAGTAAATACGTAGAAACTTCATGTTGGGTGACAGGAAGATGGGCCTTGACCATTACAACAGACAAGGAATGACTTCCTCCAGACAGACACGTTGGGAGCTAAGAGGTGTCTAGAACAGGCAGAAGAATGAGCAACAAACAGATATCCTAGCAGCTTGAGAAGCGGATTCAGACCAGCTGTTCGTTCAAGCAGGGGCAAAAAACGGGTGGAACATATATAGTGAATGGATTTACAGACGGCTTTTCTGCAAGGAAAAGCGTACGATAATACCCGTGATACAATCTGTCATGTTGTGTCAAAACCCCGCGTACGGACTGAACGATGCTCCTAAACGTTGGTGGAACATCCTAGATTCTGCACTAGGCTCTCACGGCCATGATCTCCCGGCTGATCCCGATGGGGAACGAGAACAAAGAAAAGGCGGCTAGGCAAAACGTTGAGAGGCCGAACAGGGAGTATGCGTCAGCACAATTGATCTTCTTCCTCCAGAAGGTTTCAAGAGTGCTCGCTGCAGCATTGCGACACGACCCTGGGGAAAACAGAGAAGAGTGGAAGCATGGCAAGCAGCAAGATCTGCTTAGTGCCCAAGAAGAACCTCCACAAGTGTGGAACAGCGACACGTAAATCCAAGACCACCTCCTCCAAAGGAGGAAGTTGAAAAAGGCTTCACGTTGGAAAGCCACAGAGCACGTCCACGCCGAAACCTTCATCAACAACTATAGCCAACACTCCTTAACTTATATAGTAGTCGTAACTTCGGGGGTGACTCTCGGTGAGAAAGCTTTTACAGCCAGCGCGCGAAGGGCCTGAATGCGACCTAGATGATGGAAAATCGATTCCGGTGCCAAGCGCCACAAGAAAGGAAGAATCCACGTCCACTTTGTGGACATCGCCGACTATATCCTGACCGCCAACATGGTCTGCTTTTACACCAAGCAGCGAGAACATGGGGAGGAAACTTCCAAGAAACCAGCTCCTCGCCAGGCTTGGCTTAGATCCACCGCATCATCATCAGGATGACGAGCCGCAGGAAAGAGTGTGGTTCTCAAGGGAAGGGAACAAGGAGAAAGATTCCTGGGCCTCCTGGAATTGCACCTGGAACCGTCGGGGCAACTGGGGCTAGCAGATGCCTGGAAAGAGACACTGTTCGGAAGAAGAATGATGATACGGATAAAAACCAGATCAACCATCAGAAAACGAGAGCCAAGCGTCCTCAAGCCTGAAGCTCAAGAAGACGTTCCTCAGATGCTCGCAAGACCACGAACTCGAAATGGAAGAAGACGCCAGTTGCTACATCAACGAACTGACCATACACAACACAGATTGGAACCACATGGCCAGCGAGCCCCGCAAGGAGGCAGCGTTCATGAACGAACTATGTGAATGTGGATACAATGCCAACAAGCAGCGTCCACTGATATCCCAATATGCCACTTCACTTTGGGGGCCCATCCAATCTTCAAGCTGCCAGCGTCAAATTCTTTGTCAAGCCGGAAGACAAATCGGACAGATACTATAAGCAGAAGGACATCAGCCATCCTACGCGCGAGAACCAGCCCGAGTGTGCCTATCCAATCAAACTTCCGCTTGGTCTTCAGGAACTTTGCAGCTACGATTCCTCTCAGAAGCGGGAGGCATATACCAATATCCTCCAGCATGTGTTGCAGCCCACGAAGATGAACGGACAAGTGGCAACATGTCAAGAATTCAGACATCCACTGCTTGCCTCACCGTCCTAGCATGGAACCTTGGCAACCTCAAGAGATGCCCAAGATGTCAAGGCAACCAGAAGCAATGGGGCTCTGCAAAACTCAGTCCTCCTGGGCATGACTCGATGCACTTCAGCTCATGACTTTTGTCTACAAGATGCAGGTGGAATCCTGAATCGTGCAGAGCCCCTTTATAGATGCAAGGAATTGGGTGTTTTGTGAAGGGCGACGACGCAGCCAGAGTAGACCTTGTTCGCAGACACGTGCTGACCAATTCCAACGCATGGGTCATGTCTGGAGTACTTTAGAGTTTGGTATGGTCTGCTTGCAGAGTCCGAAGACACGAAAGTGCTGACCAACAAGTTTGGCATGCCAATTTCCGCCAACAACAGACCGTGAAGCCGCCATTAAGAGTCATCGTCAGCGCATTCGGAAATGACCAAGAGCAAAAATTGCGCAGTAAGAATCCTGGTGTTCACACCTCCAACCATCACGCACGAGACCAAAGGAGAATACAATAGAACCTATGTACACAGATCCGGACTTCCATTCCTTACAGTGGGCCGGTACCACTATGAGTGCGGCGCCGCAACTTCATCAAGGAGGTTTAGAAGGAGCTTCCGTGTCACGGAAACTAATAGAAAACTAGCTTTTTTCTGAGACAAATGACAAGAGAAGGAGTAAGCGCGCGAGAAAGTTTCCCGTGCGTGATGGGAGAATAGAAATGCTGAAGAAGCGTCCCTGTGCGTGAATTGGCGTCTCCGAAGAGCTGAAAGCTAGCTGTTCACAACGCCTCGTCGGAGCATGTTCGGACCACGCCGGACCAGTCTCGAACCACGCACCCATGGGCGCGGCAACGCGAAGGTTTCGCGAGGTTTGAGTGGCACGGCTGGCGCAGCGCTTTCGCAAGGTGAGCTCCAGATTTCGTGGCAGGCGCAGCACTTTCGCAGGGTCAAGTTTCCCAAAGGATTTAGCTGCGTGGTGGGCGCAGCACTTTCGCAAGGTCAGGTACTGATGGCGTGGCAGGGTTTGTGGCGGGCGCAGCACTTTCGCAAGGCTAGGTGCAGATAGAGATAGATAGATAGGGTGGATAGATACAGAGGCAGAGAGAGAGAGAGCGAGATGCAGACATGTAGGTAGATAGAAAGGGAGGTAGACAGATAGGTAAATTGAGAGACAGGTAGATAGTTAGCTAGACGATAGATAGATAGAGAAATGGAAAGATGCAAGGTAGGTAGCTGGGTGAGAGGGAGAGAAATCGTATTTTCTAGAACGTGGCTAGATAACAAGAGAAGACAAGGGGGGGTGGATGAATGTGTGGAAAGATAGATAGAAAGCCAAATAGAGACCTAGATAGGTGGAGAAAGGGAGAGTAGGACAGACAGAAAAACTAGACCACGGTTGGCCCGAAAGCAGAACATCGCAAGCGAGGTCGGCCCAACGCTGCAGGATGCGTTCTTTTTCCCTACACTTCGTGAAGCAAGCGCGAGACAGCACCAGGCAAGGTGCTCTGCGCAAACTGGTCGGTGCAAGTTGGTCTGCGCAAGTTGCTCTACGCAAGTTGCACTGTGCAAGTTGCTCTGCGCAAGTTGCTCCGCGCAAGTTGCTCCGGCAAGTTGGTCCCTGCAAGTTGCTCTGTGCAAATTGCGCTCCCTGCAAGTTGCTCTGTGCAAGCTGCTCTGTGCAAGTTGCTCTGTGCAAGTTGCTCTGCGTAAGTTGCTCTGCGCAAGTTGCTCTAGGCAAGGCGCTCTGCGCAAACTGGTCGGTGCAAGTTGGTCTGCGCAAGTTGCTCTGTGCAACTTGCTCTGCGCAAGTTGCTCTGCGCAAGTTGCTGTAAAATGCAAGTTGCATCTTGCGACGCCCGCCCGCGGACCAGGGAGGAATCGAACCCGCGACCCGCCGGTTCCGGGAGCAGGCGCGCGAACCACGAGACAACTCCCGAGGACCAGTTCGAACAACAAAAGTCGCAAAAAACCTTGAGTTTTTGCACCTCGACCACGCCGATTCCCGCAGAGGGTTGCGCGAGCACCGCAGAAATCGCAAAAAACCATGGGTTTTTGCACCTCGACCACGCCGATCCCCGCAGAGGGTCGCGCGAGCAGGTTAGAAATCGCAAAAAACCATGGGTTTTTGCACCTCGACCACGCCGATCCCCGCAGAGGGTCGCGCGAGCAGGTTAGAAATCGCAAAAAACCATGGGTTTTTGCACCTCGACCACGCCGATCCCCGCAGAGGGTCGCGCGAGCAGGTTAGAAATCGCAAAAAACCATGGGTTTTTGCACCTCGACCACGCCGATCCCCGCAGAGGGTCGATTTTCGTGTAGTGTCGTCGGCACTACCCCGCCGCCCTAAGAAGAGATTTTAACTCCTCGCAAGTCAATTGCACTTGACTCCTTGCACTTGCAACTTGCACTTGACTCCTTGCTTGTTTCAAGGAGTCATTGCAAGCAGTCATTGCAAGGAGTCATTGCAAGGAGTCATTGCAAGGAGTCAAGGATTGCAAGGAGTCATTGCAAGGAGTCATTGCAAGGAGTCATTGCAAGGAGTCATTGCAAGGAGTCATTGCAAGGAGTCAAGGAGTCATTGCAAGGAGTCATTGCAAGGAGTCATTGCAAGGAGTCATTGCAAGGAGTCATTGCAAGGAGTCATGAGAGCCATTGCAAGTTGCAAGGAGCCAAGTGCATGGAGTCAAGTGCAAGTCGCAAGTGCACGGAGTTAAGTGCAAGTTGCAAGTGCAAGGAGCCAAGTGCAAGGAGCCAAGTGCAAGGAGCCAAGTGCAAGGAGCCAAGTGCATGGAGTCAAGTGCAAGTTGCAAGTGCATGGAGTGCAAGTTGCAAGTGCAGGAGTCAAGTGCAAGTTGCAAGTTCAAGTGCAAGTTGCAATCCTTGCCATGACTCCTTGCAATGACTCCTTGCAATGACTCCTTGCAATGACTCCTTGCAATGACTCCTTGCAATGACTCCTTGCAATGACTCCTTGCAATGACTCCTTGCATTGACTTTCATGATGATGATTCCTTGCAATGACACCTTGTAATGACTCTCATGAGAACAATTCAAGTGAACCCAGCGGAAGAACCCTTCGCCATGCTTTCGGGAACAGATATCGATAGACAGATGGATAGATGGATGGATGGACAGATAGACACATAGATAGGTCGCTTGATACATAGAGAGAGAGGTTGTCACAGATAGAAAGATGGAGAGAGCACAGAGATAGTTAGAAAAATATGTGGATGGATGGACCAGAGTGCGATTTGCTACGCCTCGTTGCCGTCGCATTGCAGGGGTGTGCGTTGCGCGCTGCGCCTGCGCTGATCAGTTGCGACTTCCGAGCAGGAGCTGCGACTCTTTGCTGATCTGCGCTTCAGTGTCAAAATTGTGCTTCTGGTTCTTGTTAAGAATGTTTTTTTCCGTTGCAGGCCTGCGTAACAAGGACCCCCGCTACAGACCTCGGTCTCAAGACACGGGCGCGTCGCGCGTTACATACCCTCAAAAAAGTCATAGCCACAAAGAGGTCTCGTCAGTCCGCGCAGCGTCCAAGAGGTCGTGGATCCAGGAGCACGCTCGGTTTTCTACGGCGTGCTCGATTGCATTGTAACCCTGGTATCCCACTGGGCCAAGAGCTTGCAGATGAGAGAACACAGAGATGAAGAAGGCAGACTACATGGCGAGTCGGGCGAGAGATGCAAATTGCTCAACGATGATGCGCTTCTTTTGGAAAGGGCGATGCGGACTGGCACCACGCTCTCTTGGTGAGCATTGATTCTACGTCCTAGAACCCGAACATCCTCGAAGAGCAAATCCAGCGAAAACGTCGGCGTGATCAAGAGAGACAATGCACACCACCATGAACAGAGGATCGCCCGCCATCGTAATGCATATTCTTCCGACATTCTGCGTGCGCAAGATATACGACTTATGGAAGAGGTTGACTGTACTCGAATATCCCCATTGCGATTGCCGAAGGGCTTGCGAGGGTAGTGCGTCAACAACTCGACTTTTGATGTGTGGTTGCCTTTGGCAAAACCTCCTACGGCTCTGGCAGTTTGTTGTCTAATCATGATTCCTCGATACCCGGCTCTGATGAAAGCGCTTGCCCCATCATTTAGCATCTCTGACTTGTTGCGCATGCACTGGTCCAGAGGCGCGCAGAAGGAGGTTGTGGCTGTTCGGGCGATATGCTATTTCGTTTCGGAGCTCAGCTGATATCCCCCCAGTGTACCGTCAGAACGACCAACACGTCTGAACACATGAGCTTTTTTGTTGGCTTGTGCTCGGTGGTCGGCGTGTTCGATTGACTGTGTGAAAGAACAATCGCTTCAAACGTAACTCTGGCGTTCATGTCGTCATCTTTGGTTATTCTCTTGTTACCCTCCGGAAGTATCCACACTTGGTTCTTCGGATTCATCCGCGTGGCGCAGCCCTCCTGGAGGATAGTTCCCCGTAAGATCAAGGTGCTTCACGGCTGCGACCTCGCCGGACCCGCCCTACAGTTTTGGAGAATCCCTTCTCCAGTAGGGGGGGCATTGGTTCCTTTGGTGTGCGTCGCGCAACGAAGACCGCACCGTTGGAACGTGACATCAATTCTAGGAAGCTGGGTGGACGCACCGATTCTGAAGGTCCTTTGGCCCCCTCCCGGAACCGCTGCTTTGCTTTGCCGGTGTTCAAGTAGAGAGCGAGAGAGATGGAGAGACCCATCTCTCAAAGAATTGCAACCATTCCGGCCTTGCTGTTGGATGTCCTCACACATCTTCTTGCGCCCAGGGCAATCGGTGTCGAGTTCCTGCGGGGTTTTCTCCGCGTAGAAAGGACTGTCTGCGAAAGTCTGAGGCATGTGTTGGACACGCTGAGAGGATTCGATGGACGACGCAGCTAGGCTTAGACAATCCAACGACGCGCGTTGGACACCTTTTGCGCAAGCGGCGTCTGACTATGCCAAGCGCAGCAAGGCCTCCACATCGCAGCAGTTCTCGCCAAAGCGATCGGCTGAACCCCCGCCAAAGCGCATCATTTGCAACAAGAGGCAGCAGACGGCCTTGTTTCTAGAAACGACACGCGACGGACACCATTGATGCTCTTCCGTTCGGCGCTTCCCTTCCGGTTGTCCATAGCCTGCTCTTCCATGAACTTCTTGCGATAGACAAAACCATTGATGAAATCTTCGTACAGCGGTTTTCTGATCGGAAGGCCGCTAGAAGATCTAGCTATTTCCTGACAAGCTCCTGTTGCACATTGATCGTCAATCTAGAGGCCGAAGGTCTGATCTGGTGATGCTTATCGCAGATCTGTTGTCCGGCCTGTCAATCAATTCCGGATGGTGCATCTTGTGGTGGCGCTGGCGTTAAAACGATTCTTTAGGCGCATCGCGCAGACTCCCTTCCTGCTGGTTGATCTTTCAAGCTTTTTGATGATTTTGGCAGGAAGCCTGAAATCTAAAGCCCATCAGAATATCCGCGTTTCCCTGCATATCCTTCCGATCCTGCCAACCGAAGCATCTTGTGTTTGGTTGATGAGTCGTCTAAATCGATGAGGGTCGGCATCTCTCATGTTTCCCGCAAGCGATCTACGTACACCTCTAATCTCGGGCACCATAGTGATGTCGATTTGGCTTAAAAGCAGTGTAGCTCATGCGGGTAGGCACATGTCACACGTTCACACGTCACCCTCGCTTACTGCCCAGCCCACTATTCCAGTGATGAGGTAAAAGACAATAATATACAAGTGAAAGTGTGGTTCCCAATGGAAACAATCATATCAATACCACAAGTGAGCCAGCTGGTTGTACCTTTTACTGTCCCTTGTGTGTACAACGCACCAGGCTCGAGGCAAATATGGCGGCAGGGTGAGCGTCTGATATCTGAAGCCTAACTGGGTCAACATGTGATATTACGTCACAGCCTTAGGTGAGTGTTTGATACGCTTATCCGGCTGAGCAGCTTCACCTCAGGCTTAGATGAGTGACCATTCACAAGAATTTTGAACGCTGGATATCTTTCTCAAATCTGGTTGGGCTGAGGTGCAAATAATATTTTGGAAAACTGTGTGAGTCATTTCTATACCATATGTCATTTCTACACTATATTCCCAAACTCCTAGGCGTGGGGCACGTAGGGCATGGTTGTGCGTTGTTGCATTTTTTGCGCAGGCGCCTTCGCTGCTGCCGTTGCCTTGCCTCGGCCGCAGAGCGTCGTGTCTACGACCTGCTGTTCAAGCCGGGAAGCGAGGAGGCGCGAGGTTCTTCCAGCAACGAAGGGCCCTAATGGATGAGCAGGGATTGTTGTAGCTCTCAAAAAATTGAGGCCGTTGCGGGAAAGCGCATTAGAACACCCATGGTTCTATTCTGAGCTGAGGTCTTCTATCGCACGCTCCACGCCTTCGCTGCGCGGGTGGACGCACGGGCAGCCTCCAACGCCTTTGCCTCGCTCGCGAGGTTGGAGGCGCGCCGCCTGCAGTTGCAGGCAGAGCCAGGCGCGGGTCTCGCGCGCTGGTCCCAGGCCTCCAGTCTGGAACTATTGTTCGGTGTAAATATTTCGGCAAACAAGGCTACGCCCCCAAAATCCACAGCCCATTTTCGGCAACCTACCAGGGCCAAGTATCTTATATGAGGCGCAATTACATGTTTTCGTCATCCCCTTTACCCACGTCTACCAGGGGCTGTGCTCAATCTGCCTGACGTATGTTTGTCTCCACGGGTATGCTTCCAAGTAGCATTTCCCTTTGCAGGAAAAGTCACCTACCAAAACTGTGCCTGGATGTCAAGAGAAAACCACCGCTTTGGTAGGTTGACCGCTGTCTCCTCACCAACGTTGCTTTGATAGTATGACCGTAGCGAGCCGTCAGAAAAAGAGCACGAGTGCCTCAGAAGGCTAAATTGACGTTGTGCTTTCGTGGCTTTATGTTGAATGTATTTAAGACCCACTGTGTTGAAGACACGAAAACAGCCGACAAAACATTCTTGCATTGTTTCTAAAATAGATACTTGAATAGTTGCTTACGAAATTGTTTTGAACATTGTTTTAAATATTCACCATGTTTGCAAATATTGGTTAACATTGTTTTCCAATTGAGCAGCATTTCAGGTTTGCTTCACATGGTCGTTTGGGGTCCTTTGGGGAAGCTTGTTTCTCTGAACATTTGCTACGGTTGTTAGCGGCTGCGTGGTGGTTTCTCCCTTACCATCAGGCAGTTTCTCTTTGTTGCCACGGTTGGTTCAGGCCAGCTCAGCCAGTTCCAGCGATGACTTACCTCTATTGCCGGTACTGCTTGATGGACTCTTTCACGCAGTTTTTGACAGAGCAGGAGGCACATGTAGCCACGAGGGCGGCTGCGACTTTCTCGGGACGCCCTCTCCCCCGACCAAGCGACGTCGAGCGCAGAGTTTGACGCCTGAAAAGACTGACCCGCCAAGCCCGCCCAGGAAAAGAAGGAGCTAAGAAAGGCAACGGGCCCTCACGCCCTTGCAGCGGCTGCCCTGGGGTATGGGGGCGCTGGCCACCGGCCTTGTTTGCGCTTTCGGCGCAAAAGCCGGGTAGCGCTCCTGCGCATTATTGGCGCCAAGCAGCAGCGCAAGAACGCAAAGGCAAAAGCAAAAAGCATTTCGGGCACAAGCAGCCCGCTCAATTCGCACCGGCCGCCATCAAACAAGGGATTTCGGCATCCCAAGCTCGGCAGAGCAGACGCCAACCACAGGCGGAGTGGGAAAAGGGAAGTGGAAGCGCTGGACATCGGACGCGGTGCCCCGAGCCTTTGGATAACATAGCGGCCAGGGATGTGGCCGAGGGCAAGCGCCAAGCACGCCTCAGACTGCAAGCTGTTTGCTGCAGAGTTGATCATGAAAGGGCAGAAGACTGGCCTGCTCGAGTTCTTGGAGAAGGCTGGGCGCAACACTCCTGGTTCGGAAAACCCCTTTGCTCTGACGAATATGATCCTCGACGAGACGGAGCTTGAGCTTGGCTTGCGCTCTTACGAGCTTGGGTCCTGGTCAGATTTGGCTTCCCATAGCCTTCAATGAGCTTCAGGGTTGGCGACAAGACCCATGACTTCGATGTCATCTGGCCTCCTGTGGCCATACCAAACAAGCAGGCCTGCCAGCTCTTTGCGCTGGGCAAGGAGGTTTGTCGGCCGTGCCAGCCAAGTTAAGAGCTGTGTTGGCGCCGTGTGACGCAGCTCCTGCGAATAGCAGGCTGGCCGCACGCTTCTGCTACCGTTCCTATGCTTGCAGCACAGAACCGGGAACGTTGTCGAGCGGGTTACCAAACTGCTTGGCGTCCTGACAGGGTCTTACGCAGTTGCAAAGACTCACTGGGCACGTGAAGAGGTGTTGACGCAAAGACTCCAAGTCTTTGAAGAGGTGCCTCCTGGCTTGGAAGACGAATGGGCCTCCGGCCAGGTTTGCGCCAAGCAGATCTTTAGCTGGGTGAGGCAAGAAGAGTCTCCTTGCGAAGAAGGTGGCGCGCCAGACATCTACGACGAGTTTCTGCAGTTCTTCGCTGGACCTTGGACAGGACTGGGGTTTGGTGCAAAATCTAACTTGTCTTTTTACATGGGGCTAAAGGCTGGCTGCCAGGGTTTCGTGCTTTGTCCGTTGTTTCTGTTGGTTTTCGCGGCCCGCTTCAACAGGGCGGAGCTGCACGACGCTGTGCTTTTTGAGCATGTTAAGCATGTTGTTCTGCGCAGCTTTCTTGGCTCAATCAAGTGTTCTGTTTGTTACCCCTTGCCGCCCGCTGGCTGTGGCGATTGCGGGGCTGGCGCCGCCTTTCTGCTGCTGCACATCGTTCGGCAACGCCTCTGCCTCTGCGCCGCCCAGCAGCTTTCTCGGTGCCCTCATTCACAACGGTCGGCGCGCGCGCTGGCGGCAAATATTGGCTTGCGCGAGGAGGCGGCGAAGCGGCGCAGGCCGCCCAGCAGATGGCAAAAGCAAGCAGAAGCGACTTGAGGCAGGGCGATTGAAACTCTCATCAACCGATTTGCTGCGGAGAAGGCAATGGCAGCTCGAAAACGGAGAATCCAAAATGGAGCTTTCAAAACGGAGCTAGCGTCAACGCGCGCAAGTGATAGTCTTGCCAGCGACCCCCCCTTTGCACACGGACGACGCGGAAACAACATGCAGCGCCTGCTGATTCAGGGTATGCGTGGAGAGCGCGTGTGCTTTCAGGACGATTTCGTCATTGCCTCAGTTCATGTACAGAACCAGTTTGGCATCAGCGGACTTGAAGAGTTGGAAGGTGATGAAGAGTGGAGAGAGGTTGCAGACAGACCACTGACCGGTCTTGCAGGGTGATTATGTTGAGTGAGCGTGACATGAGAGAGTTCATAGACACAGAAGTTGTGGTGGACGGAATTCGGGAGTGTTTTGCAGAAGGACCAGGTCTGCAGATTAACAACCCTTGCGCGCTCTGAGCCGACAGAGCTGGTTGTCAACAATCAAACAGCTACACAGCAGAGCACTTTGAGAGAGCTTTGGGATGCAGCAAGCTTTTTGGGAGTTGTAACAGGGGGCTCCAAGTGCAGGGTTTGGGCCAAATTGGTGTGAGTGCCAAACGAGCAGGTGCTGTGGAAAGAGCAGCAGAACAACATCAGCAGGAGATGGAGCTAGAGGCAAAGGTGCCTATGCAGCCAAGGGAACCGCAAGGGAAAAAGATATTCATGAGGCGACCTGTCATCCCTTTAGGCGGCGGTGCCAAGCGCGTGTGATGAGCAGAAGTGTGGATGACAAGCATTTTTCAGATGTGCGTGCAGATGCACCAGCAGGACAGGAGCGCGGGTCAACTGTGCCGGTTTTTCATGATTCCCGAGTCCGGCCAAGAAGATCGCACGATTTACACTCCGAGAGTTTGGCTTCAAGGAATTGTTGGTTATACGCTCGGAGCTCTTGTTGTGTTGCTTCCTTGCGCTTTTTCCCGAATGCGTAGCAGAAGGGTTCCCGTTTAGAGGTCGGGGGTCTCGGGGTTAGGACGTGACCAAAAGTCGTTGATTTTACGTTCGCAAGCGTCCGCAAGCGTTCGTATGTGTTCGCGAGTGTCGCGGTCGCAGTTCCAATAGGGAAAGCGAAAAACGTGCCATTTGGATGACTTGAAGCCCGCAATTTTTCGTGCCCCTGTGCGGGAATCGTAGCTCCTAGCATGTCAGACGTAGTTTTGCAGCGCAGGCGCAGTGTTTTGGAAGGCTGCGTGTTCTCGTTGCCGTGCCAGTGGGATTTGCGATCCAGGGGTGGTCGCTTTGAGGTGTCCTGCTTGGCAGGCGCGTGCAAGTATTTGCACGAGTGTCATTTTCGTTGGCCCTGTCGTGCAATCGGCTCGTTTTGGCAAGCCTGAAACATGCCAAAATGGGTCGAAATCATTCTGGCGCCACAGTCCCGTGCTAGTTTTCGATGCGTGTCGTAAACGTGTCAAAGGTGGATTTCGTGGCAGGCCCAGCAGTTTGGATGATTTTGAGTTTGTGGCAAGCTTGCTTTGTGTGACAGGCGCGGCACTTTCGATCGTTTTGGTTGAATTTCGCGGCAGGCGCGGCACTTTGAAGCTTTTCGTGCAAATTTCGTGGCAGGCGCAGTGCTTTGGCGCCTGGGTGTAGATTTCGCGGCAGGCACGTCACTTTGACTCAGCGAGATCGCTCTCGCTGTGGCGCGGCGACATTTTGAGAACGCGAAGCGAACCTTCTGCGCACTTTGGGTGGGTCAAATCGCTCTCGCTGTGGCGCGGTGCACATTTTGAGAAGGCGAAGCGAACCTCCTGCGCACTTTGGGTGGGTCAAATCGCTCTCGCTGTGGCGGGGTGCAAATTTTGAGAAGGCGAAGCGAACCCTCTGCGCACTTTGGGCGGGTCAAATCGCTCTCGCTGTGGCGCGGTGCGAGTTGTGAGCATGCGAAGTGAACCCTCTGCGCACTTTGGGTGGGTCAAATCGTTCTCGCTGTGGCGCGGTGCGCATGTTGAACGCGCAAAGCGAACCCTCTGCGCACTCTGGGTGGGTCGAATCGCTCTCGCTGTGGCGCGGTGCGATGTTTTAGATCGCAAAGCGAACCTTCTGCGCGCTTTGGGTGGGTCGAATCGATCTCGCTGTGGCGCGTTGCGCATGTTGAGATCGCACAGTGAACCCTTTTGGGTGGGCTGAATCGCTTTTGCTGGGCGCGGGGCACATTTTGCGATCGCGAAGTCGTGACGAAACACGAAACGTGGGTAGGGTCGTGACTAGAGACGTGAGACAGACCACGAAAGGCAGGACGGGAGATGTGGCGGAGTTGTGACGCGAGGCGCGTCGAGACACATGATGAGAGATGTGTTGGAAGTGATGACGAGAGACAGGAGCAGAGTTGTTACGACAGACGTCACAAAGCACGTGACCAAAGACGTGACAACAGACGTGACCAGAGGTGTGACGATGGATGTGAGAAGAGGAGAGCCGTGACGAGAGACGTGACGAGAGATGCGACAAGATCCGTGACGAGGATCGTGACGCGAGAGGTTACCAGAGACGGGGTGGCAAATATATAACAAGAGACGTTTGAGAAGAGACGCGGCGAGGGTCGTGACAAGAGACGTGACCAGAGACGTGACGCGAGGGTGACGACGCACGCGACAGGATCTCCAAGAAAGACGCGAAGGGAGATGCACGCAGTCGTGACGAGAGGCGCGTCGAGACAGGTGCTGAAAGATAAGATGAAAGTCATGACGAGAGACGTGGCCAGAGTTGCTACGACAGACGTGACAAAGGACGTGACCAAAGACGTGACCAGAGGCGTGACGATGGATGTGAGGGACGTGACAAGAGACGTGCGAGGAGAGTCGCGACGAGACGCAAGATAAAGCGTGACCAGAGACGTGACGAGATAAGGCGTCACCAGAGACGTGACAAGAGATGCGACAAGAGACGTGACGAGGATCGACGTGGCGAGGGTCATGACAAGAGACGTGAGGGGTGACGACGCGCGCGGCAGGATCTCCAAGAAAGACGTCATGGGAGATGCTACATAGTCGTGACGAGAGGCGTGTTGAAACACATGATGAAAGATGAGATGAAAGTCATGACAAGAGACGTGGCCAGAGTTGCTACGACAGACGAAACAAAGGACGTGACCAAAGACGTGACCAGAGGCATGACGATGGGTGTGATGGATGTGACAAGAGACGTGCGAGGAGACTCGCGACGAGACGCGAGATATGGCGTGACCAGAGACGTGACGAGAGATGCGACAAGAGACGTGATGACGCGAGAGGTTACCAGAGACGGGGTGGCAAATATATAACAAGGGAGACGTGGCGAGGGTCGTGACAAGAGACGTGACCAGAGACGTGACGCGAGGGTGACGACGCGCGCGACAGGAGACGTCTCCAAGAAAGACGCGATGGGAGACGCCACGTAGTTGCGACGAGAGGCGCCTTGAGACTCGTGATGAAAGATCAGAGCGAAGTCATGACAAGGGACGTGGCCAGAGTTGTTACGACAGACGTGACAAAGGACGTGACCAAAGACGTGACCAGAGGCATGACGATGGGTGTGATGGATGTGACAAGAGACGTGCGAGTAGAGTCGCGACGAGACGCGAGATATGGCGTGACCAGAGGCATGACGATGGATGTGATGGATGTGACAAGAGACGTGCGAGGAGAGCCGCGACGAGACGCAAGATATGGCGTGACCAGAGACGTGACGACAGATGCAACAAGAGACGTGACGAGGATCGTGACGCGAGAGGTTGCCAGAGACGGGACGTAGTCGCGACGAGCGGCGCCTCGAGACACGTGATGAAAGATGCGAAGACGAAAGATGTGACGAAGGTCTTGACGAGAGATGTGGCCAGAGTTGTTAAGAGACCTGCCAAGGGACGTCCAGCTACGTGGCGATAGATGTGACAAGAAACGTTGTTACGTGAGACGCGACAAGGACAAGGAAAAAAAGAGAGACGTGACAAGAGACGCTGTTACGAGAAACCTGACAAGGGGCATGACCAGGGACGTGACGCACCAGAGACGTGACTATACACAAAAAAGAGGAATAGCCAGATACTCCACCTGGCGAGGAGAGACGTGACGAGATTGGACCAGAGACGTGACGAGAGATGTGACAAGAGATGTGGCGCGAGGGCCGACGACTCATGAGTGACAAGAGACGTGACGAGAGTCGCCAAGAAAGACGCGGCGGGAAACGCGGCGGGAAACGCGACGGAGTCATGACGACAGGCGCGGCGAGACAAGTGATAAAAGACCGGAGACGCGACTTGAGGGGTGACGACTCACATGACAAGAGACATGACGGGAGTCGCCAAGAGAGACGTGATGGGAGACGTGACAGAGTCGTGACGAGAGGCGCAGCGAGACACATGAAGAAAGGTTTGACGAAAGTCATGACAAGAGACGTGGCCAGAGTTGCTAGGAGAGACGTGACAATGACGTGACCCGAAGTGACCAGAAACGTGACTATAGAAACGTGACTAGAGACGCGGCGCGAGATGTGACAAGAGTCCGCTTTCGTGTCCGCATTCGGGTTTGTGGCTTCTATCAGGTTTGCGAATTAGTTGTTGTGTGGTCGAAGCCTTGAGGGGTTCTCGGCTTTCATAATGCCGTGTGAGCATTGCTCAATAGTCGTCCGTGAGGTCCTTGCACACTGACTGAAAGTAATATTTGTGCACCGGACGCGTGTGCGCATAGACGAAAAGGCTCTGCGGGCCTCAGCGCACTTCACTGTATAAGGACTGATTGGGTTCCCTCAATGTTTCTTGGCGAGAACGAACCGGTGTTGCTGCATCTAATGCTGCGTCGGTGCAAAACCGGGTTCGTTGTGAATCCGGTTCTGCCTGGTCTTGTTTCCTCATCGGACTGTTCGTTCTGTGTCAAATCTTATTGTGCCTTGTTGTCAGGTGTTGCAGTTGTTGAAGGCGGTCTATAAAAGGCGCTTGGTCCGAAGGAGGGTCTTGGTTGTGACTAGACGATCGGAAGTGGCGGAGGCCCGTCTGATGATGATGCTGGTGTTGCAGATGTCGCGCCCGTCGGGGCGTCTTTGTCTTTGTTCTTCTTGTGCTTCTTGTTAGACGCACCTTCTTGTGGCATTTCATCCTCGTCATCTTCTGGCGCTGGTGGTTGCGAAGGTTGTGAAGGTTGTGGTGGAGGCACGGCGACAGTCGGCCGGGTAGGAGGCTTTGAAACATCACCCCCCAGCCGAATTGAGGAGGAAATTGGCTGTATAGCCGACGTGGAAGTTTGTTGTGGTCCCGGTAATAAGCGGGGTGGCCCGGTTGTGGCGGTTGTGGTGCTTGTGGCATGTTGGGCGATTGGCGTCGCCTGAAGCGTGGGAGCTTCTTTGAAGGACATGCGGGCTTGTGAGAGTACAGGCGCGTGCCACTGTAAAGGGCTTTAGGTGTTTCAGTCACATCGGCTGGTAGCGCCCGAATTTTGCTCGGTGTGTTTGCTTGCCAGAGAACCACGCGTGCGTCATCCGGTGGCGTGGTCAATGGTGAATTGATGCCGTTGGTACGGCAGTACATGATGCACTGGTTATAGGGCGTGCAAGTTGCAAGTCCTCTTACGCTATTGTGTGGATTGTCGAACATGAAGTTTTGGATGCTTTTAGATGAGCTGTTCCATTGCCTTCTGGAGTTTACGAACTTCAGTGTCGCTGGTGTACAACGGATCTGCCTGGTTGTTGAAAGGAAAATCCTGAGTACTGACACGAGCGCTGGCGCTGGTCATGTTGTACTCTTCATCGGTCTTTTTTCCAGATCGGATCTTTTGCTGGATATGTTACTGTTTGAGAATGGCTGAAAAATGTTTTTCCCCAGCTGAAAGCTAAGGGCAAGAGGTTTTCGGGTGGTCTGGCGCAGGCAGGTGCAAGGTCCAGGTTCTGGGCCAGCACCTGTACCAATATTAGGGTCAGGTTCGTACGCCGCCAGGCCTCAACACACAGGCCCTCGAAACGTACCACTTCCGAGCATGTGTGCGAAATACAGAGATTTTGGCGTTCCAGAGTCGCGCGCCAAGAGCGCGAAATTTTCCAGATGGGGGCTTAGGGTAGTTTCGTGCGGAGGGAGAAGCCTTTTTGTTAGAGCTGCGTAGGAGTTGCATTGAGCCTCGTTAAGGCCATTGAGCCTCAGGGTGTTCTTCGATGTTTTGTTGGATCCCAAGATGTTCCTTTTTCTCGGTAAGCAGCAGCGTGCCCAGGGGACAGCAATCAAGCGGAAATGACCTGAGAAGCATAACCAGAAGCAAGGGGATGACTAAACCCAAATAAGAAAATTGCGCACCCAGGCGGTTTTATATTCTTATGTCGGCTGTATATAAGGCAGAGTCTGACGCAAGTGACCTGGCAGGCCAACGCCCGGCTCGGGGCAGCGCCCGTCACGCTGGCTCCACGCTTGTGTTTGAGGCGGAGGCGTGTGTTGTTGCTTGTTCTTGAAGGAGGCCTGGCAGGCTTGGGTGTTCAAGGTATCATTACTTACTGCAGTTTCAACTGTGCCAATTTTGGCTCAAGGCAAGTTGAGTTTTACTGTCCCAGGAATAACCTGTATGGCAGGAACTCAGTATCCCCTGGCTGGGGATGTGGTGCAGACGAGGAGTGGTTGCCATGGGAGGAGCCACCCAGGAGCTTGGGCAGGATACCACGCCAGCAATGTGCGGCTTTCTTCGGGTTTTGGGGCCAGGCTGGATGAAGCCAGGGATGAAGCCAGGCAATTCTTCCGTTCTTCAGAGCCTGCCAGAATGGTGTGCGGATATTCCAGGAGCCGTGGACTGCCTATGAGCCCCAGGACGGAGACTTCACGCCAAGCGAGCCCGCAAGGTCCCCACTCTTGCCTGCTGCAATGAATGTCCAGGATGCTGGTACCACTACTTGGACTGCGATTCGAGCGCTGGCTCATCAGCACCCTCTTGCCTCTGCACTCAGCTGCTGGATGAGCGGGTCTCAGGGAAGCGCCTCTGTTTCAATCAGGGCTATGCCCACTCAATTTGAGGGCCTTGGACAGCCACGTCAAGTTCGGCTGATTTTTGGACGACGTGGAGGCGCTGCTGCTTTGGAAGAGCCTCGTGCCGGCACGGGCGGTTTCCATTGCACAACTCGAACTCCTGATGGTACTTTTAGCGCTGATTGCATCAAGATCTACATCGCATTGGTTGACAACAAGGGGACGGCAAGACCATGCTTTCAAGGCACACGATTCCGCGAGAGCCTTTTCACATCCTTCTTCAATCCTACATTGGAGGCGGACGACAGGGACAAGGTGCTGGAATGGTCCGCGGTTCAGAATTACCTTCTCACCATATTGTTCTGCTGCCACAACCTGGTGTGAATCGATCAGCTCCGGAACCTATGAGGTAAGATCCCCAGCAGATCGAAGGACAGGTTGCGATAAAGGAGTGGCTTATGCAGAGATATAAGGAACTTGCTGTTCGAAAACTCAACTGAGGACCACTGGCAGAGACAATACAGCTGCACTCATGTGCCTGATTCAAGGCAGATCGGACTCACCGGATCTGGAATGAATGTGAGGCATGATCCACGCAGCGGCTTTCGCCCGGCAAACCTAGTTCTTCTGGGAGCGGGTTCCTAGCAAGAGCAACTGGGCTGATGAGGTTAGTCGCCTGGGTCTGGAGGACCCTTGTGGAGTAAACATTTCACCGCATTTCAGGCGGAGTGTCCGCTAACCCTGTGGGCTCTCCCATTTTCTCCTCTCGTCCGTGTCTTCGCATTTCTTTAAGTGCGTTGGGATTTCAAGCGCGTTGGGATTTTGAGTGGTCCTGCGTGGCCATGTAGGGAGTGACACATGGCCACTTCCAGGGCAGGTGTGAACCTGCTGGGCCGAAGGGTCTATCCAACGCATTACCCTGTGGGTGACACAGGCTGGAAATAAGCCTGAGCGAGTGTTTGAAGAAAAAGGAGCTAGTTAACTGCAAGTAGGAATGTTTCATGGGAAGGCAGTGGCTCGCCGCATAATCTTTCGGGTTCGTGGTAAAGAGTTTGGCCAATACTTACACCCAGGAAATCAGCTGGGATGGCGTTCAATGGCAAACCCTGACACAGGCAAGATTTGGGGGGCCCATCTTTCAACAGCCTCCAGAACCCCTTTCGAAGACAGTTATCCGTTTCTATGGAACCACCTCTGTCCGCGCGTTTACTAGAGGATCCCGCATTTGCTAGGCGATCCGTACGACTCCCTCGTTCACAAACCCCTTTTGCCGCTTTTGTTCAAGCAGCATCTTCTTGCAGGAGCTGATGTTCAGACGGTGACAGCTTAGCACTTCCTTCCTTCAGCTATCAGAGCAGAGCGCTTGTAAAATGCTTTGCTGTAGTCGTCAGGAGCCCCGCAAAGGTGCGGATATGTGCGCACCGTGTTCGGGACACAACCCCGTTGTTGAAAGGTGCGGGAGACTCCGGGTTGTTCGGCGTATTTTTTGACACGACAGTTTAGCTGCATATTAGATTATGTAGGTATTCCAAGCAAGGGTGTGGACCCCTGAAGATGGTTGGCTTCTTTGCGGTTATTCCTTTTTCAGAAGTCCGAATGATTTTAGGACGTTGCTTGGCTGATGTGAGGTTGCATGGTCTGCAGGTGGGCCTGATATTCTGAATAGCACGAGTTAAGGTTTCCATTGTGGACCTGTGTTGGAACGCTTAAACTTCTTATGACAATCTCGGGGCCGAACCGAGGAACACTACAAGTTTACAGGGCAGCTTTCAAGACGAATCGAATCAGCTGTACCATACCGTGGTTTGTGTCAAACACTTTGCACCCTCAACGATCCAGAGTAAGTAACCCCTTCTTCTTACTAGCGCGCCTCCCCCTAATAATGACCCCCGAGCTTTTAAATACTTAACACTCAACCAATACTACACTCTCCGAAGACAGATCGACCCAAAGGGTTGCCTGGTGAGGGTTTCCAAGAGGGGTTCCCTTCGGAAGCTATCAACCTGAAAACAAACTAAAAAAGATGGTAGTTTTCTTTTCAGAACAAGCAAAGGCGCCTTCTGCTCAAAAAATATTACTCGGAAACTGCATGTTGAACATTTGTTTGGAAATCAAAGGGGTCCCCGTTTCCCATGTAGGCAGTACTAAACAGCGCAGTCTGAAACAGTTCTGACCCAAACGCCCGGGGCCTAATATGGAATGCCCCGGCGTCTGCTTTGTTGTTTTTAAGGGGGGCCGGCTTGTTCGGGGAGAGGATTCTTTATGATGCGGAGCCCAGTGGCACACACTTCCACAGCCACTCTTGGACACACACATGACATGTTGACCAGACCACATGTGACTATGTGTTGTCAAACTCGGGCAAGTCATGGACCCCAACGTTGCCCACAACGAAGCTTCCTTCCATGGGTCTATTTCTTAAGTCTTAATTTCCAGTGAACAAAGGCTGCCACTACCTGCCAACTGTTGCCCGAGGGGAGCAGATGAGTGTGTTTCAAAATGGTGGAACCCCTTGCGTTTAGAGATGCTTTTTCCTCAGATTCTGTGATAGCTTCATTCAAAGGATGCGTGCGGGGGGAAGCGTGATGCATTGCGGCCGGATTGGCGGCAAGAAAGAGCTTACATCTTGATGGTTCATGTGACACTGGCAACCGGGTGGCTCAATCGCACCAGCCTCGAAAAATGTTGACCGCTGGCACTCAGTGTTGGCCCTTCTGCATGGTCGCCGCAGCGCCTTTGCCCTCACGGGCGTTGCGCTTCGCGCTCTGCGTAAGCCCTGATGTTCGTTCTAGGAGAGGGCCTTCGTTCTTCTCAGCGGCGTCGGATGGTGTCTGCTGTTTGTCGCCAGCAGCCCAGCCGATCTTGACCATCTCGTCGGCCACAGCCAGGGTCCCTTGTTCCCGTTGTAGCCGTCGTTGTGGCCTCAGCAGCCGCTATGCGCTGGATTTCACTGTCATGTGGCAAAATAGCAACTCGTCGCCATTTCCGTGCGCGCCACGCGAGCAATGACCGCGAATGTTCTTGCCGCCCCTGAGCGCCAGCAGGCCTCCAGCGGATTGCCCCTTAGGCCTGTTGCCCGCGCTGAGTCCCACTCATTCTTGGGCTCTCTCTTTGGCTGGATCCACACTCGCAGGCAGGAATCTCCCCCAGACGCGAGTGCCTTCCAGCTCCGTCAGCTCCTTGTCCGGCTCCCGCCAGAGATTCCTCGAAGCCGTGGTGCTGTCGTAGAGGGTGCATCCACGCCAAGGGCTTTGTGCAGTTCCGACATTCCTGCAGACCTTCTCCTTCTCCATGGTCCTTGAGGTTTGTAGGAAGAGCCCTTCCAAGCTCCACTTGTTCTTCTTGCGCCCTGACGCCAGCAAGTCAGGCACGATGCGTGCCTTTGCCTTCCCCGGCTTTTTTTTCACGAAGGTCGTGCTCTCCGGGCTCTCCTTCACGGCTTTCTGCGCCTCTGCTTCGTCTTCTGGCGGTGTCACCTTCCATGTCAAGCCTCATCCTCCTCCGCCTTGTTCAGGCACCTGCGAATCACCTCCTGCACCAGGAACGATCGCACCTCTTTGGACAGCAACTTGTCCTCCGCTGAGCGTCCGTATCACGCATCTTCTTCACAGAAGTACTCCACCGGGTTCACCGTCAGACTCGTGGCGTCTTCTGACGTTTCTCCCCGGTTCCTCCGCCTGAAGCTGCAGCGGCCGTGCCAAAGATGAACCTTGATCCCGTGCTTCACGACCATCGCCAATGCCCATATCCGGCTACAGGTCCTCGTCATCATCTACCACCAATGATCGAGGCTGAGAGTCACTAAGACATCAATCTGTAGTGTTGCTGTCCTCCGATGTCCACTTACCAATCAGATCGTACTCCTTTGCTGAGATCAGGTCCGTCTGTTGCAGCAATCGCTACCCAAACGATATGTCTGCGCGTGTCGTCCTCCTCCTGCACTTCCGTGAACAGCGCCCTTCCTGGTCCTTTCCACCGTGGCTTGACGGTCTTGAAGCCATGTCGCTTTCCGCGGCGATTGGAGTGCGTCACTTTGCGGCGCCAGACCTTCACCCGTTGCGTTGGCCAGAAATCGCCAAGGGGCTGGCAAACCTTGGAGTTCTGCAGCTTCCAGAGAGTTTTGGTGGCTTTCGCCTTTCTCACGCACACTCCTCGGCATGCTGCCTCTGCAAGAATGGAGCATCCAAACTGGCATGGGTCCAAAGGTCCTCTGCCATACGCCCGCTAGGATCCATGTCCGCGTAGGAGATCTGAACCAAGGTGGACGTGATCTTCACATCCTTGAATGACCCCATGCGCCCAACCTTCAACTTCTGCAGGATGAGTGAGCGCCACGTTGAGCTTCACTGAACTGAGCGTCTTGGAATCACATACTGCGGCTTCGGTTTGTTTGGCAGCCATTGAAGAGAGAAGCTTTTGATGACATCCTCCGCAGATGCCGTTTGTTGCTGGTCCATGTCACAGACCCTCACAACATCCACCATCTTGAACTTTGTCCAGGTCAATGCCTGCTTGAGACTACGGCAGCAGCCTTGTCGATGCTGGTGGAACTTGTCCAGAATGGATAGCCTCAAATTGAGTGGCGTAGAAGGCTGCTGCATTTTGTATGTCCTCCCGCTTATAAAGGTCCATGTCGGTAGCCAGATTCGCCTTCTTTGTCGCACGCAAACCTTCTTGTTCAGCCGCGAATGTCAGCCAGCTTTCCGGCGAGCAGAACATCTCTCATAGCACACCCACCTCGCCGTAGACCAATTCCTGCTCGTTGAGCTCTACCACTTGCTGCTCCCCACCTGCGATGTGTCGGGGCAGCTCCTTCTTGCAGGATTCATCGCAGCTCAGGCCGACGAGGAGGTCTTCCCTTTCAATTCCTCGTTCTTCCTGGGCTTTGGGAGGACCTCCAAGATCGGCATCTCCTCCTCCCAGATGCGCTTGATGATCCCCTGCTCCACAAGGTGTTTGTTCCATGTAGCTTCTAAGCTCGTCTCTGTGGGGAGGGCTTCGGCTTTGGTGCTCAGGTTTCCTGCGCTTCTTGAGCATCTTGAGGTAGCGCTTGTTGCTCGGGTGCTTGTTGATCGCCGCCCGAACCATCTCCTTCATTGGAACTGCGCTGTTGTGCAGCAAGAAGTCTTTTGACATCCACGTGATTCTTCACCTTGAGGGTGCTCCCTTCTTCGGCACATAGATCAACCTGACAGCGCACATCTGGCAGCGCGTCCACTTGTTGCTCCGACATCTCATCGGTTCGTGCTCTCCATGGCCATTGGTCTCTTCCGTCCATCGTCTTCATCAGCGTCGCCAGGTGGTCCGGCAGATGGGGTAGATGAGTCGATTGAATCTGAGCAGAACGCATTGTTCCGAGCTTATGTGCTGAAACGGCTAGCCTCTCCAGCGTTGCAGTAGCTGATCAAAGGGTGCCAGGTTGACCATGGTGGCCTCAGAACCAAATCCGGAACCCCACAAGCAAACGGCTCCTTGTCATCGTGAGTCACCAAAATGTTGGCACGCCCTTCCAACCGTCACCTCCCCAAGCGTTCTTGTGGAGGGTATAGCAGTTGCAAGGGTCCACCCACGAAAAAAAAAGAAGCAGACTTCGGTACCAAATGAAATCTCCCCTCTTCTCTGTCCTGGTAAAGGCTGATGGGGTTTGGCAGCACATGTGCGGAAAAACTGCGGGGCCCACCTGATGCTGCGGATTGAATCTCACATGTTCTCCTTGACCCCACTTCTCAGAACCGAACGAAAATATGGGCGGCGTTGCTGCTGGGTCCTTTGCCAGCAAGGCTTGAATCAAACCACGAACCGCCCTTTCGGGGCCAGCGCTCGCCGTGGCGCCCGTATCGAGCACCTTCGCCAACTGTTTCTCAGCGGCGTTTAGACCCGTGTGGCCTCCAAGATCATTTTCCATCTCAAGCCCGTGGTAGTCGTTGACCTGGCGCATCTTGTTGCCCTTGGACTTGCTCTTGCCCTTGCCGAAGGAGAAGGTGCAGTTCGCATTGACCTTTCGACTTGTTCTTCTCTTTGTGAGTCGCCAGGTCTTGTACTTGCCAAAGCTCTTCATAAGGCTTTTCTCCTCTAAAACCTTTCCCTTTTCACATGCCGACAAATGAAGCATCCAGAGGTGCCCTTGCCCGCCGCCCTCCTGAAGGCATCAGCCCCCTTTTCATAGCTGTCGTGGCTTGCTTTTTTTGCGTCCAATCTTCTTGCCCCGTCTGACCCATTGGCAGCAATGTGGCCTTGCCCGGCACCCTCCTCACGTTCTGCTTATTTCCGCAGAGGTACCACGACACTTTTTTGCAGTATTTGCGAGGAAAACATGGCGCATTTGCGGCCGGATTGGCGACAGGGGGCCCCATGCCCCTCTGGATCGAAGGATGCCCTGAGCCAGCGCCTGCAAGACGCCCTGGAGCAGCGTGAGGAGCTTCGGCCGGTGCAGGCGGTGAACCTCATGTGGCCGCTGCGCCCGGTTTGGGATGTTCGGTGGAATCCGTACATGCAGAACAGGTGAGCCAGCAACAAACGTGCCTTCTAGCCTTGAATTGATGGCTTAGATGGGCGGTTTGAGGGTTTTAACCAGTGGTTCCTGAGGGTCAAGGAGAAGCAACCCCTGAAAAGCCTCCAAGCCAGCAATCCAAGCAGCCAATTGGGGTAACAGCCACTTGGGAGGTAGCAGCCAGTTTGACGGATTGGTCAAGAATTTGAAGAGACACCGTTTTGTTGTTAAGGGGTTCTGCGCTTTCTACATGCTCATCTTTTGCGCCACGGGGTGTGCAGTTTGTTTCGCCCTAGGTTTTGAAAGAGGGGGGTTTGCTGTGAGCAACCGCGGAAACAGGTCACTTATCAGCAAAGCAACTGCAGTAGGAATTGCGCAATTTAATTTCTCAAGTACTACTTTTGCAGCAAGACGGGAAGAGGGGAGCGCAGCTGCAGCTTTTTTCTTGTCGTGGGGCTCATTGCAACTGGGAATGAGGTTTGCTTGTTGGCGAGCAATCTGGCATGGGATTCTCTGGGCACACCCCACGGTGTCTACAAGAAGTTTTTTCCCGTTGTTTCTTTCAGTTTCATAGTTGTATTTGTCAGATTGTTTTTCAACTTCTTCAACTTCTTCAACTTCTTCAACTTTTAAGTAAGGAGGCACAAGCCGTTGTGGCCAACAACCCACTCAAGACACACCTTTTTGCTTCGAAAGCCCACAGAGGCAGAGCTCTGCGCAACTCTGCGCGGACCTTTGTGGACTTGGGAAGCAACCCCACAACGAGATACTGCGCAGGCTTGCGGTCGGTAAAGCAGGTCTACCGGTCTACCTGTGTTATAGGTCTGCTTTAGTTCAAGCAGGTGTTGCCTTGAGAGCACCTCGCCAAAGCATTGCCTTTGCGTTGCAGCACTCGAACGCGAGGCTCTTTTGGGGGTGAGGGGGTCCTGGTTCTGCGGCGGCTCCAGTGCGAGCCGGCCTCCTTGCGTTTTGCCCAGGTCTCTTGCAAAGGTCGCAGCGCGGGATCCTTTCCAAGCGCTGGTCACGCCCATTCGCGACCGTGTCGTTGCAGAAACGCGGCTTGACCTTCAACCAAGACGGGTGGATTATGGTTTTTGCCTGCCGTATGCGTCCCTACCATTGTACAGTAGGTTTCTTCAATAATTCATGTTTGTGCATGATGTTTGCAGGGGCTTGATGGATACTAACGTTCCCTTGGTGTCTTGAGATGCGAAACGGCCCCTTGCTCAAAGGGAACCAAGGCGCCTGGGTTGTGGAACCCCAAACTGCTGGTGACAGATAACAGACAAACCAGATTAAGGAGGCTAAACAGATAAACAGCCCAGCAAAAAGCGAAACAAGGATCGATGTTTCTTGTTTTCCTGCTTAGGCCGAGGCTTACTGGCCGCGACCTGTCGACGGTCTTGTGGGCCCTAGCGGTGCTGGTAGCAGATACCCCCCACAAGCCACCTGGCACAGGCTGCGGGGGAATGGTGGAGTTTTTGGCAGAGATGGCTGGCCATGTTGTTCAAATTTGATTGCAAATCTGTTCGTTTCAGGCGAATAGTCTGTGGGTGTCAAGGGTCACAAGCAAGCTTGAACTTTGCTTCTCCATCTAAAACCAGACAGCAGCAGGCAATTCTCCCCTCACCGCTTCGCTTTTGAGATTGGTAAGTGTCTTCATCATTGTTGTAGAGGCTCAACAAAAACAAATGTTTGTTCTAGATGCAGCTGCGCCAGTATTCTGAAGATGGAATTCGTCGTAGAGTTGCAGGAATGTCTAACTAGTACTCCAGGTTCAAGACTACCCCAAAACCACTCAATTGCTCAAAGTAGTCAACCTGGCGGTTCGCTTGGCGGAACATCTGCCCACCTGCCGTTTTCCTCAAGAAGGTGCTATTCCTTGGCACGGGTGAGTGATTTTTCGTTTTGCAAGGGTAGGAGTTTGTTCGAAGGGGACATCGCGCATTTATTGGGAGGGCCCATTATACATGTGCTTATGTTCCAGTCTTCCTTGGGGCTTTTTGTCAGCCGCCAGCCAAGAAGGTGGCGCAGACCGCCCGCTTTGCGAGTCGGGGTTGGGGTCTTGTGTTGGCCGCCCGCCCCCCCCATGACATGGGCGGGGGGGTCCATGGGAAAGGTGGCGACGCAGTAGGCAGAACCTTCAACATAGATTCTTGCTGGATTGATAACTTCCCAGATCCAATTTCTGACAGCTCACGAATGACATGCGAACTTGTTGTACGCGATGAACTGGCAAAGGTTACCGTTCCGACGCAAAAACTTCGCGTTCCCTGCAGTACTTGCGTACTGACTAGCTTTTACAAGCACGCGGTCCCCACTAATTACGGAGACCGTCGTCCGGCTTGCCTGTTTTGCCTCCACAGACCGGCGCACAGTGCTTCATCTTCTCTCTCTGTCTCTCTCTGTCTCTCTCTGTCTCTCTCTCTCTCTATCTCTATCTCTATCTCTCTCTCTTGCTGGCTATTCACAACCGCAAGGACTGGTGCCACACTGGCAACAAGCAGCGGTCTAAGGCTGCAGGGTGCTCAAAACATTTGGTCCAGGCAGCAACGTTCCCTCCATTGATGGTGGCGTTCAGAGACATATGCCGCCATCTGCTCTCTGGCAGTCGCAATGTTCTCCATAGAGTCTTTGGCGCAACTCCAAATCCTGGGTTGGGGGCCGGTTTAGGGGAAGATCCATGTTTGTCTCAAGGTGGTGCTCCCCTTTAAAGATTTGGTGTTCCTTGGTTCCCCCGCAGAAAGTGAACCCAGAAAAAAGACCACCTGCGTTTTAGGACAGACCTTCGTACGGAAAGGTACACCATGGAGCAAACGGCGCCAAGGTAAGCAAGGGTTAAGAAACCGTGTAAAAGAACCAGCCCAAATTGTTCCAGGGTGCTACGCGTAGGGATGGAATTGTACGCAGCGACAGCCTGCATGAGGTTGCCTTGCATTCTCTAAGATGCGAGTGACTGGGCCGCTCCGAGCGATTGCTTGATGTCAACTTGCACAATGGATGGAAAACGCCCCCCATTATCTGACCATATCATGCTAGGTAATTCCACCTCATGATGCCATCGGAGCAAAATGTTCTGCGCAGCTGTCACATCCTTCCTTAGCAAAACAGTGGTCATACATGGGTAGAGATTAAGCAAAAAAACGACTCGGCAGTTTCCCAAAGGTCAATAGTCCCTTTAAAAAAACTAATGTAACAAAAATAGTCAGAACAGGATAGTGCAGACATCCTCGAAAACAAGCACCCGCCCCATTTTCGAATAATTCGAATATTTCGGGTAGTTAGAAATACTACAATTGGAAGAACAGTGAGTCTGGATTTCTCCAAAAGGCACCCGTCCCTTTGAAAAATATCAAGTGATTGACAAACTGATGAGAAGTAGAATGACAATCTGGAATTCCTCTGGAGCTAGAAAAGTTCAGGAAAATTGCGAGAATAATTACGCAAATTAGAGCAACAATGAATATTGATGGCTCTCGTTGCTTGGTGACAAAAGCAACTAGAGACATTGTGCAAACGATCAATTATATCTGACAATCCCGAAAGCGCTCTCATCCATTCTGGAACAATGGCACAACTAGAGACTTAGTTGGAATGCCGCAAAAGTCACTCGCCCTTGTGGGAGTAAATGCAATGATTCGAAAATTTGGAAAACACAGACCTTCTCATTTGGGGTTGGTGTGCTTGGTGTGAGTCTCTCACTCTCGCTCTCTCTCTTTCTCTCTCTCTCTCTCTTTCTCTCCCTCTCTCTCCCTCTCTCTCTGTGTTTGTGCTTGTGGGCCACTTGCCATTAGGGCTGACAAGGGTGGGAAATCCTCCCGCGCACGCACCACATACGGTAGAATCTTCTGTGCCACGAAGGGGAGGGATTGCGGGGGATGGCTCCGGGTGTGTTGCGGTGTAGCGCGCTGCTGGCAAGTGACGCGCATCATACCTGCGCACACGCAGCTCAGACCCGACGTTTCAGCGTAGCGCATGTTGTCTGCAGCGCACGCTTCTTACGGTCCTAACCCTGAAGGTGCGGGAGGGGCGCCATTCATAATCAAGCGTTTAGGCTACAGGTGGCAGCGCAGGCGCGCGGCAGGAAAATGCGGGGTTCCATGTGTATGAACACGTGTTGAGCACTTGCCCCTGCGCAGTGTGCGGTTTTGCCCTCTCCTTCGTGGTTTGGTCCTCCCTGCCAATTTTCGCTGATTGCCTTCTGGCTTAGACCAGGCTCTTGTTGGCAGTTGTTTCCGGCTCGCGTTCGGTACTATTCGGGTTAGTTAGCAGTTTCACCAGTTCACGCTGTTGAACCAGTTCTCCGGACAATTCAACAAATGAAAGCAGCTACTTTTGGAGACTTGCGCAAGCGAAAAACCTGACTGTTTTAACTGCTTGACATTGCGCACAGGCCGCTCGCACGGCTGCGCCGCGTAACCGTATATCATAGCAGCATTGTATGAGTTTTCATTGCACTCACAGCAAGTCGGTCACTTGACTCCCAAAGTCCACAACGAAGCAGGCTCCCCGCGCATGGGCCGTTCCTGGGCGCGCTGCCATGCCCAAAATGCGAAGGGCCCTCCGGCATGGCAACGCTGCAGGCAAGCAGGGCCAAAATGGAGCTGCATGAAAACATCAAACCTAGGCATCCTAGTCATATCATTTGATTCCACGCACAAGTGCTAACGAGTTGGCCGGCTTGTCGGCTGTTTCGCGGTGATCAACGCCAGCAGAAAATACTTTTGCTGTGAGGATGCAAAGGAATAAAACTCGTGATCTGGGCAGCCCCTTCACAGCTGCAGTCGTGGGTTTTCTGTTTTTTCAAGCCCTTGACCTCGTCCCGCAGCAAAGCCCTAATCTTTGAAGGCTCTGCCTGGCAGCTGCCCAGGTTCCTCCTGAAAGCCAATCTGGCAAGCTCTGCAACAAATGAGCCCAAGCCATTCCCACAACGGACATGCGTCCTTCACCCTTTCCGCCTTGTTCCTGAACGCGTGGCGAAGCTTGTGTGCGTCGAGTCGTTGTTGTCGTTGCCGGGGTCCAAGAATCAATTACAGCGGGGAAGCGCCGAACTTGTGAGTTCTTTTGACTTGCAATGCGCTGTTTTCGTTGGCCCTGTGCGCGAATCGAAGCTTCTCAAGCTCGGCAGCTCGTTTCGCTGCGCAGGCGCAATGTTTCGCGAGCTTCTATATTTGCGTTGCAAATGCAACGCGATTAGGGTTTCGGGGGTGTTCGTTTTGAGGCGTTCTGCTTGGAATGCTCGCGCGCTCGTTTGCTCGAGCAGCGTTTTCTTTCGGCCTGTCATACAATCCGCTCCTTTTGACGTGCTTCAAAAAAGCACCCTTCTTGCGCACTCATTGCCATTCAATTTGGGGAAAGGTTTCACGGTCATGTTGCGCCGCGCGCGTGGCGCGAATGAAAAGCGAACATACTGCGCGCTTTGGGCGGGTCAAATCGCTCTCGCTGTGGCGCGGCGTGCGTTTTTTTAAAATGCAAAGTGAACCCTCTGCGCGCTTTGGGCGGGTCGCATCGCAACCGCTGTGGCGCGGTGCGCGTGTTGAAAATGCAAAGCGAATGCAAAATGAACCCCCTGCCCACTTTGGGCGGGTCAAATCGTTCTTGCTGCGGCGCGGCGCGCATTTTGAAAACGCAAAGTGAACCGTCTGCGCACTTTGGCTGGGTCGAATCGCTCTCGCTGTGGCACGGTGCAAATTGTGGCTCACAAAAGCGAACCCTCCGCGCAGCCTGACGCGTCGAGTCGCTCTCGCTGCGGCGCGGCGCGCGCTTTGAGATCCCAAGGTTAACCCTCTGCGCACTTTGGGCGGGTCGAATAGCTCTCGCTGTGGCGGGAGAAGTTTGATGGCGAGAAAGAAGTGTTGCTCGGAAGTGTCGACCAGAAGTGTCGATCAGAACTGCTGCTCAGAAAGTCTCCGTCAGAAGCGTCGATCAGAAGTGTTGCTCGGAAGTGCTGGGTGTCGACCAGAGGTGTGGATCAGCAAGGTTGGTGTTGGTGTTGGTGTTGGTGCTGCTGCTGGTGCTGGTGCTGGTGCTGGTGCTGGTGCTGGTCCTGGTGATGGTGCTGGTGCTGGTGTTGGTGTTGGTGTTGGTGTTGGTGTTGTTGTTGGTGGTGGTGGTGGTGTTGGCGTTGTTGGTGTTGTGGGTGTTGTTGGTGTCGGTGTTGGTGTTGGTGTTGTTTTTGTTGTTGTCGGTGTTGTTGTTGGTGTTGTCGATGTTGTTGTCGATGTTGTTGTTGTTGTTGTTGTTGTTGTTGTTGTTGTTGTTGTTGTTGTTGTTGTTGTTGTTGTTGTTGTTGTTGTTGTTGTTGTTGTTCTTGTTCTTGTTCTTGTTCTTGTTCTTGTTCTTGTTCTTGTTCTTGTTCTGGTTCTGGTTCTGGTTCTGGTTCTGGTTCTGGTTCTGGTTCTTGTTCTCGTTGTCGTTGTCGTTGTCGTTGTCGTTGTCGTTGTC